GCAAAAGTAACTATTATTAGAGAAATTTTTAAAAAATAACTTATTGAACAATAGAAAAAAAAAATTTTTTTTCATAGGGATCTTTAGAGCATGAATTGGACAAAGCTGTAGAGAATGGAGATTTAGTTCTTGCGACAAAAATAAGTGATCAAATTGCACAAAAAAATTATGAAACTATAGTTTCTGAAGCAATTGAAAGAAAAGAATACAACGAGGCAAAGGAGGTAGCAATATAATATTATATTATTGAATAAAATTATTTATTAATATTTTAATATTTAATTATTGAAATTTAACAATGTATTTTTACATTTAGAGAGAAGAAGCATTCAAAGCTAAAAAAAAGAAACCGAAATTAAGATGGGGGTAATTAATGTTTTCTTTTTTAATGCATTTGGTAATTAAAATTATTGTAACAATTAAAACTTTATTTATCACAAATTTTAGATTTGAAACAAAGCAACGTTGGGAGACTAAAAGTAATATGTAAAATAATTATTATATTGATATAGACAGAAGGTAAACAAATAATATCTAATTAAAATGATAATTATTTCTGAAATTCTCATTTTATGCAAAGTAAATAAAATATGAAGTATATATATATATGTACATCCTTTTTTTAGTAAAATAACTTTATGGTCATGTGACAAAGTCACGCGAAGAAGTTGTGTATATTATCTCTTCTCAAATAATGACATCTGGCATCTGATATTATTTTTTTTATCAAGTATTGCAATCATTTTAACTTTCATTTTGCTAAAGTAATAAAAGCTAATCCGACTCAAACTCCCAAGATATGATGCAACAACGGGAGTGGGACATTGAATTGATTGCATTTGGGATTTATTTCATTTTTGAATATCCTATTAAAGCTTCTTCTGTATGACATCTAAATGGTCAATGGATCTCTGGATAATAATACCATCATTGTCTATGGCAATGATGGTTTCTCATCACGTTTAAATATCATGCAGCAAGGCTTAAAAAAGCACTATATCAAAAATGTAGCTGCCTAATATTTACTGATGGAGGCTTAAACTAGTCGAGCATGTTGTTTTATTGTCTTGTTTGATCTGTTGTTTTTTAGGTATGTTTCTTATGCGAAGGCGTCTTTGAAAAACCACAACGCATCTATGGCTTAAAATTATGTAAAAGTACCTTGTGGGATAGCAAGCAATCAAATGAAAAAGAAAAAACCAAAGATCCTAAAAATGAATAAATTGAATTAAATGTTTTATATTATGATTATGTTAAATAATTATTAATTGAGAAAGCCTTTTTTAAATTTTTGGTTTTTCGATGTCAATATCAACAAGTATGATTTAATTTAAATAGATTTACTTAGATAATTTTCATCAATACAAAAAAAAAAATACATTATTATCAATAAATGATTGAACAAAAAAATTTTGAATTTTAATTTCTTTATTAATATCTTTATTATTATTTATTATCATTATCACTATCATCATTTTTAAAGCTATGATATTTATCATTATATAGTCTCAAAAATTAATATTTTCATTTAAATTAAAATTTTCTCTATAGAAAAATTATTTTTTCATTTTTTTTTCAAAATTAAATTATTAATAATATAGATTGATGTCTATTAATTAATAATATAATGATTAATGATGACCAAATAAATTATTTATTTATTTAATTGTTGAGATACTGAAAATTAATAACATCATTCTGCCATTTTCATTATGTGCTAATTACATGTTAATTAGGTCATGACCAGAGTTTTAATGAATGATCTGCTCCTGAAGATATTATCCACGGCTGAGTGGGATGAAATTCACAACACAAAACGCCTGGACATAATAAAGCACAAATTTAAAGTTAAATAGATCACTTTTCAATGATACGTTTTTTTTTGTAAAAGAATTGTGAAAAATTTACCTAAATTGTTAACCGTTTGATGTCCGTTTTTTAAAATTTTTACTGGTACGATCAATGGGTTTTGGAGTAAATCATTATATACCATTCCATGAAAAATTTGAATATTACCATCATCGCTACATGAAGCAAAAAGTGGCAATCGTTTATGAAAAGTTACATTACGAATGGCCTTTGAATGAAACCTAAAAAAAAAAAATAAAATCGTAAACAATCTATTTTGTTTTTAAAAAAAGTAAATGCAATATATATATAATATGCCTTAAGGTCTTGTAGGGTCTTGAAGAAAGATCTAAATCGAACCAACACAAACGTTTATCATAACTTCCAACAATTAGATTATCTCCTGTATGTGGAAATACATTAAATTTTTGTATTAACAATATATTTTCCTTTTATAAATTAATAATAATAACTTTACCCATTGGATGAATATCTAAACTTGATATCCATTTCGAGTCAGATTGTAATGATTTGATTAATTCCTGTTTCAATAAATCATAAACTCGAACAAATCTTTGGGTCTACGATATAATAAGAATTCAATTATTTGTTATAAAATATAGAATAGTTAAACTCAAGGACTTTGAGAAGAATTAACATACCGCTATAAGAAACAATGGTTTAATTGGATGAAAAGATGCACATTGAACTATTCCTTTAATTTTTTGGAATGGTTGCTGACTTTGATGTTTTGAAAGATGATGAATAATGACACCCTGATTTCCAGCTAGAATTGCCAATAATAATTGGTTTTTAATATCTATAATTATTAAAATTATTAAATATAATAGTAAAGACACATACCATCTGGTGCCACAGAGAAAAAATAATCTCCTTTACGATGCCAATTAATCTGTTTTATGGTCTGTTATATAATTTTTAGAAGAACAAATATAAAGGTTTTATTAAATTATAAATTGATTCAATAATAATAATAATAATAATTATTATTATTATTATTATTATTATTATTATTATTATTATTTTCAAACCTTGTTGTGCGAATGATGGATAATAGCCAGAAATTCCTTATTATGATTTTTTTCAGCTGGTTTAATCCATTCAACAATGTTCCTTTTTTCATCTATTCAATATTTTAAAATTAGATCAACTTTAAATTTATAAATAACATAATCGGAATAAAACAACATACCGTTTTGTTGAAGACTATCAAATCCCAATATAATACTTTTGACAGTAAATTCTGTTGTTTCTTTGTCAAAGATGTCAGTTGGTGAAATAATTAAAATTTTGCTTGTACTTTAATAGAAAATTATAGTAATACAAATATATGTAAAATAAGTTGAGAGGCGATTTTGATTTTTTAAAACATAAATCAATAACTCACTATGATACCGCTAAACATTTAATATCTTTATTAGGGCACCATGCAACTGAATGTACAACATCTTCTAAGTGCCATATTTTGACACAACGACCTGTAATTATTTCCCATATCCTAACAGTTTTATCATCTGAACCTGAAACCATCCATAATCCTGTTGGATCAATTGAAAACGTACGAACATATCCAGTATGAGCATCATAAGAAATGGTTAATGATTTTGGGAATGGTTGCAAATCTTTAGGATTTGGAAGTTTTGGAATTAATGACTCTGGATCGATATTAAGCTAATAAAAGCATTATAGTTAGCAAAACGTTTTAACAATAATCATCACATAAAAACAAAGTACCTTATTCCTTCTCATACGTGGAGCTAAATATAAATCAAGACATCTATTGAATCTTTCTTGGATGAACCGATTGTAAGAAGGAACAGATCTAAGGTTTTGATATCTGAAATATAATTATAATAAAGTAATTAAAAATATATGCGAATGATAAATTTTTTAAGTATTTATTTGTCAAAAAAAAAAAAGAAATACTTTTGGGGCATATAATTTTTCTCCCTATCATCTGCGTCAGTATTATTCCAATTCTCCCTTTCTTTTTCTGACAACAAATATTCGGCTGGTGGATTATAACTTTCATCATGTTCAGGTAATTGTGTTTTGGGTGCAGGAAGATGCATTGGATGGTCTTCACGTGGTTTATCATTATCGTTCCACAAGTCATAAAAACGAGGCTTTTGAACTGGTGTTTTCCCTGGAACTATACGTCCTTGACGAATGGCACGTACTATTTTCATGATCTGTATAAACAAATAAAAGAAAGATTTCAAAAAAAAATTTTTTTTTGATTCACTTATTGTTTATTTAATGACAAATAATCACATAAAATGTACAACTTACACGTTTTGCTTCCCATTTTGAAGGAATAAACCGTCTTTTGGGCTCTGGAGTTGCACTTAAAGGCATTATTTCAGGTTTACTGGTAAACCATTCTACAGTTGGTTCATATGGATCATAATTGGGGTCTGGAAATTCGCCCATTTGAATTCGACGAATAATCTCCAACTCCTCATCAGTCAATTTAACATCTTGTTGTGATAAAACATCTTTGACAGATAACCTTTTTTTATTTAGAAAAATACATCAACGTATTAATTAAAAATAAAAAATAAAAATCAAATGCAAAATAATCTTTTACCATGTATCAGGGTCTTCCATATTATCCAAAAAGTTATCCAATTCATCACCTCTAGCAGGTTTCATAATTTTTTCCCCACCAATATCATAACCGATGTGTGGATAATCATCATACCATTCCATAGGTATATTACCAACAGTATTGACTGGCTAATTGAATTGAATAAAATTAATTAACCAATTAATCAATATGCTCATGAAAATAATAAAAATCTCCAAATGTCATTACTTGCATTTTCAGTAGAAGAATCACTATCATATACAGGATCAATATCTGCCATCCTTTTCTTGTTATAATCCATTATTAGTTTTTTCTTTTAGGAATAAAATTGATCTAAAATCCAGATTGTAGTACAGAAGCCAAAATTTTTAAAAATAGATTTTTATATAGAAAAATGTATAGAAATTTAGCAGTAAGGACAAGTCGCTTTGGTTTTAATTTTTGCAAGCATGGATCTATTTACAACCTTAAGCATCATAAATTTGTACCAACTTTTTCAAAAACCAGCTTAATAAGAAATGTTTCGAATCAACCAAACGATTCTTCTAATGGAAACACCCCACCATTAAAACCAGTTCAAGATAATAACAAAACTAATTCTGATTCTTCAAACACCGCGAAAGAGATACCTGCATCTACTGTCGCTAGTGAGGAAACTGAGAATAATAGACAGGCAACTGAAGAATCTCATTCACAGCCTTCTGAGAATAGTCCAACAGAAAATGTTGGAGAGCTTCTTTTGAGATCACCGAGACGTAAACGAAGCACGACGCGTCTACGATCTCGAGCGTCCAAACCAATAAACCAGTATAAACCAGTGATACCACAGTTATTTTTAAAAGAAAATTATCTTTGTTACAAAGATAACACTCATTCATTTGATAAAATGTCTTATCCTCTGGAAGACGGTATTCGTGATGAAATCATATACAGTGCACGTGCTAATCTATTACCATTACCAAGGAGTGATACAGTGCCTGCACGGAGAGGCCATTTATTGTTGAATTGTCCAATAGAAGGTGCATCATTTTATTTGGACGCGGTTGTTAAAAGTGTTGCTGCTTCTCTACAAGCCGATCTGTTGACATTTGATAGACAGGATCTTATGGAGTTAACTGCAAGCATGTTTTCACGTAAGGGTAATGGTGAGATATTCTTTATTATTTAATGTTAATTTTTGATGAGGAAATTGTTGTAATAATAAAAAATGACAATGAGTAGGTATTTTTTGACAATACAAAAAAATTTTTGCTTTTATAGTCACACCATGGCCATTGTTTCCTGAATTGAAAGGATTCAACCCATATATTGCCGCCTCACCATATTCCACAACATCATCGTTTTCTTCCGAAGATGAAATGGATGACGATGTGTTTATAGAAGAAGAAGAAGGTTTCGAATCGTCACCTACAGTTTCACGAAATTCTAATTTTGAAAATAAAACATTGGTTGAAAATTTTCAATATAATTCTACTCAATCTAATGGATCTTTACGCACAGAATTGAAAGTGATTATTGAGAAAGTTGATAAATTTTTTGAGGCTTTGGTATCCTCTTCTCCTACTTGTGCTGAATCTACATCTACCTCTTCAAATTTACCATCACCACCCAAAATAATATATTTTCGAGATGTTGGAGATTTGGTTCCTACTACTTTTGGTTCGGCGATCATCAATAGCTTAGTTGATGCAGTACAAAATCAGAGACATGCTGGTGATCAAATTATGATTGTTGCGGGTTATTCTCCATCTTTATTTGCAATGGACAAAAAGTCATCTACAAATTCCAGTGTACCGTCCCACGAAATTCAATGGGTTGGTGTTGATATATTTCCAAATCCTGCAATGCTTGCTGCCTTTACACACATAGCCATTCCTCCACCATCATCATCAAATACTGCACAAAAATTACAATCTTTAATTGCAAAAGATAAGAATGTTGCTATTATACATATTAATGTTCGTACATTGAAGGCGGTTTGTGCTAGCAAAGGAGCATTTTTCAAAATTAATAGTGTAAAAGAACTCGGAAAACTTATGTCTAAACTAGAGGGGATAGATAGTGAAGTTTGGGGATTTGAACGTATTCATCGTTTGGTGATGAATTCGATTGGCATATGTATTTCCAGTCAAGACGTTTCATCAATTAAAGGGCCGATTTTTTTGGAAGTGGAGCATTTTATAAAGGCAGCAAACATTTTGAAAGCTAATCATAAGCTTCGAAAAGATTTTGTTGAATGTGCTTCAACAAATAATGAAATGTTGAACAAAAGCCCCGAAAAATTAGTTAGCATTGTTGGTATTGGAGATGGAAAATTAAATCTACCCAACCGAAAAAATATGAGAAAGGAAGACCTTGACAAGTACGAAAAAAAACTTTTAGGATGTGTAGTAGATCCTGGTAACTTTAGTTGGAATTTTAGCAAAAAAAATTGAATGAAACAAAAACATGAACGAAAACAAAAGAACTTATTTTATTACTTTTATTTTTATTCTGTTAAATAGAAAATATATTAGTAGGTTTTTCTGATATCCATATTGCAGAGTCAACTGTACAGACTCTTCAAACATTAATAACTTTACCTTTAATGAGACCACAATCATTTTCTTATGGAGTTCTCAGTAAACATTTTATTTCTGGTGTTTTATTGTTTGGACCACCAGGAACGGGTAAAACAATGTTAGCTAAAGCGGTGGCAAAAGAAAGTGGTAGCACTGTAATAGACATTAAATCTAGTGATGTATACGATATGTATGTTGGTGAAGGTGAGAAGAATGTTCGGGTATGAGTTTATTGAGAGGAAAAAAATAAAATTTTACACGCATTTTTAACAAAAATTATGTATCGTACTGAAAATCTATTTGTATTTATTTATAGGCAATATTTTCACTAGCTCGTAAATTATCACCCTGTGTAATATTTTTGGATGAATTAGATGCTATTTTTGGATCTAGGCGTTCGGACATACATAATGGAGCACATAGAGAAATTATTAATCAATTTATGGCAGAATGGGATGGTTTAACGTCCCGTAACGAAGGTGTGTTAGTGATGGGTGCAACTAATCGACCATTTGATTTGGACGATGCAATACTGAGAAGAATGCCAAGAAGAATATTAGGTAATTTTTATGTTAAAATTTATTTCTAAATATTACATACAAACCATTGTAATCATTGATATATATATGCCATATTATAGTTGATTTACCTACTGAAAAAGATCGTGAACAGATACTTCAATTACACCTTCGTGATGAGAAGCTTGATTCATTAATTTCATTGGCAGATCTTGCAAAAATTGCTAGACTTTATTCTGGTTCAGATTTGAAAAATCTATGTATTAGTGCAGCACTTGCAGCAGTTCGAGAGGATGCAGAAAAGGAACAAAACAAGAGTAATAGTGATAAAGAGGAATTGAATGTTTCAGGAGACAGCAAAGAAATGTCAAAACCATTACAACCACCACCTATACGAGTGTTGAAAAATCATCATTTCCAACAAGCACTTAAACAGATAACACCATCTTGTTCTGAGGATATGACAAGTTTGGCAGAATTAAGGAAATGGGACGGATTGTATGGTGATGGAGCTTGGAATAGACAAAAACGGGTAAAAGGCATTGGATTTGATGGTGATTCAGGTTTATCAGACGATCAGGCCATTGGAAATGCCATGCAGGCCTAGAAGTGGAGGATGATTGGAATTGACCAATTTTTGATCAAATAATTTGATTGAATTATAATTAATAAAATTTTGTCTAAATAATAATTGATTATTTATTTATTAAAAGAATCTCGACAATTGATTATGATTAATTGAGTTACTACTATATATTATTAGATTTATTATTTTTAAATTTTTAAACATTTTACTATTTTTCATTACAAATAATTTTGTTTATTAATATAATATAAACTTCATTCATTTATCATTTGATCAGAAATATTTAAGTGGACTTCTTTTTTTCCCTTAATCACTTTTTCAGAAAATGTCCTAAATTTCATCATTTACCGAAATTTTTATCTACTGAATGAAGTTGGGAAATTATGTAAGGCAAATTCGATATGGTTTATATAACAATCAAAAAAATTATGGGATGAATGGGATTAGCAATATGATCACGTGAAAGTTACGGGTCAGCCAATACTAATACTAAGAGGGTTTATTAATAACAATGAGTTGTTACTTTACTTTGAACTTCAAAGGTCCTTCAACCAATTCAATCATATTAATACTTGTTGCCCGCATCCAACTAATGCTTAATAAAAAAGGAAAGACGACCTTTCTAAATTAGTTTCACAAAAACACGTACGATTCTTCACAGTCCATTAAATATTATGGATTTAAAATTAGTGCAAAATCGCCTTTGAAAAGGGAGTGAAGGAAGGTTTTATTATTTTTTTATATTTCTCGGAAATTTAAGAAATAGATAAAAGAAAAAGAAGTCCATCGCCAGACGAGAATAGATATTATGAATCATCTACATCATCTATTGCAACTATTCGTGTTAATATAATGATTAATATGGGTGTTTGAGAAGAGTGAATTAATGTTAATCTAAATAATATGACATTTCAAAATGAAGAGAAATCACGGTAGGAGATGAAGAAGAAGTTGAACTTTTACGGTTTAAAAAGCAAGATCTCTATATTTTAACGTTAGCTTATCAGAAAACTGTGATTATTTTATTTGAGAAAAATCCAAATATAATTGGTTTTATTATTATCAATACCTACTGTATATTTATGACTTTTCAATAGCTATTTCTCTGATTATATAAAATATTAAAGCAATCACTCATTGTGTTAAAAATGAACAAGAAATTAACAGAAAACAGTAAAAGCTAAAACAGAAAAAATTTTTATCAACGAAGCAAAAACAGAAGAAATTAATCCTTATTGAATTTATTTTTTTGGATTGATTATTCCAGTTATTCTCTACATAAGTTATTGAACAATCAAAAAATAAAAAGAATCCGAAACAAGAGTAGAAAATAAAACGTTCGTTATATTTACAATTCTGATATTAAACAAATTTGGCCCTGTAATATTTGACAGTACGACATTCATTTTGTATAATTTTTGTCGGTGAACACCACTTTGCATACCAACTTGAGATAACCAAGGCCCCAAATTTTCGGTTCTTGATACAGGAGTGAGAACTTTCATAACCCATGTGGTTAAGTTATAGAATGGGAAAGAAAAAGATGGGTAGAATGCAATACTTATGCTTACATCATGATAGAACCTAAAGTGAAAGGGGTTACATTCATGGTAAAGCAAATGAACATAAAAGAGGTAAGCTCTGTCAATACGTGCCCTGGATCCATAAGAAAAGGTAAAAACCACTATATTGCTTTACTCCTTGGGTTTTTAAAATTCAAATCGGTTATAGAAATAGCTTGACATGGTCACATTACCGATTTAAACAATATTCGTTCCATGAATCCTATGTGTATCCTTGATGCAAGGTGATCAACTACATTGAGGGATACACATCTAAAAGCGTATGGGCATTGTAGATTCATCAAACAAAAGTCTGGGAACGACCTTTAGATGTACAGGTTGACATGCAATCCTTAATAGAGGTGTAAACTGCCCATAATATACTTGTAACCTGTGGGACTTGTAGGACTTTAATTAGTATTAGTAAAAGGTTATTATTATTAAAGAAAAAATTTAATTGCCACATATTATAATTTAGACAACTGATGTTTAGTTTTTGTTTCATTTTATCAATCCAATCTTTCTTTACTTCTACACGTCAGCAAATACTTTCATCCTTTTATCTTTAACTCTTGTTCAAGCTGATATTTTTTTATCTCATATTGAGAAATATAATTACAGTAACTATTCCAAAATTCACAAAACTATTCCCATTCCACTTTCCATTACTGGTCGATAAATGAATCCATTTATATTAGCAAAATGCTTTCCTGCTCCTGTAATTATAATCATTACAACTTTGCTTTGATTTATTATTACAGTGAAAGTTCAATCAAGCATTTTGTGGATTGTATGGAAGAAAATAACTAGTTACATTCATTATTTATTTTTTCCGAAAACTTATTAGTAACATTACTGTGTTGGGAATAAAAAAATCGTAAGCCACGTGCACGTGATTATGCATCTATCTATAGTAATAGTGCATCGAATGTTACGTCGCGCCAAAATTAGCCAATAAATATTTTCGAGTACATATAAATGGGGAATTTATTCTTTATAATACGACGCTTTTTGGCACGTGATATATAGTAAGCTTCCAAATATAGTTATTGAGCCTTAATATTTTAAGGATTGGCTATTTTTTTGATGCCTTTGACATCACAATATTTTTACCAGCTGTGCCTTATATTATATATTAGTTTTCAGGGTCCCGATTCATATTTCCAAATTAAAATGTGTTTGACGATCCGAAACAAACAATATATTGTCAAAATATTAAAAAATAAATAACCTTAAGTCTGTGTAACTTTCGGGATCAGTTCAATAAAGTTTATCCCTAACCATAATAATAATAAATCGTATAATGACAAAATTTTAACGCCATTTAACAAGCATAGTGGAAGTTTGTTGTTACACTAAATTTTATATAGAACCAGTATTAGTATATATATAGTTGTTACCTCTCTCTAATTGGAGATACAGTTTTTTATTGCAAGTGTATTGTAAAGTTACGTTGCACAATATAAAAAATTAATGTAACATTTCAACAACATAAACATTTTAAAACAAGATCACATGATACTATATGTATATATACTGTATATTTATTTAAAAACTTATTACATAAAAACCATATGTTCAAATTTAAAATAATAAAATAGAGCTAATTACAAATTGATAAAATCAGTTTTTGTTCAGGACAAAATATCTTTTTTCTTAGAATCTACTTCAATAATGTCATGAGTATCGTAATTAATACCTCTTTTGTACATTGAATTATTATAATTTTCTTCTGATTCTTCTTCATCTTTGAATACTTTTCTAGCTTTTCTTTTTCTACAGGCACATAAAATCACTGATAAAACAATAATTGAGAATAGAATAACTCCAACTAATACGCCAATAATAAGTTTTAAATTGGCTTTTAAGAATGATTTGGTTGAATCGTCATCAGAATTAGATTTGTCATTATCACTACCAGTTTCACCAGGTTCATTAGTTTCACTAGTTCCATTAGTTTCTGATCCAGATATTGTTATTACTCCCCACATTCCATTTGCACAATGTTGAGCATAAGCACAAAAATAATAAATTTCATTATTGTTTCTTTTGGTTACTGTGTATGAAAATGTTTGAGGACCAACAAGTGTATTTGATGAAACTATTATATGATTATATAAAATTTAGGTATGATTATTATTAAGAGAGAAAGGAGGGGGTGAGAGGGAAAGAGCGAGAGAAAAGAGAAATATTTACTAACCTGATCCAATGTCTTTTGTTTTACTACATCCTGCTAAAACATCAGACTCTGCTATAATGTGGTTGCCTTGAATCACTTTCCATGTTATCTAAAAATATTGATTATTTATTTTTTTTGTATTTTTTTTTTTAAAGGATGATAATACAAAAAAAAATTTACTCACAGTATCACCAACTTTTGCAGTAACATTTTGCGGCGAGAATTTTAATGTGGTGGGGGCCACTTCAATTACAATGTCTTCAGCCGAGCAAAAATAATTAACATAACAACCAATAATGAAAATTATCGAAATTTTTATTAAATTGGTTTTCAACATAATTTTCGTTAAAAAAAAAAAATAAAATAAATAAAATATAATTAAAAAAATATGTTTTTTCGTTAAATTTTTTAAATATATATTTTTTTTTTTATAATTTTATAATTTTATTTTATTTTATTTTATTTTTTAAAGAGAGAAGAGAAAAAAAAAGAGGAAATAAATAAATCTTTTATTTATTTAGAATTATCTTAGTGTTGTTACTGTCACCATTATCATTGAACAAATATAAAACCATAAATAATAAATATAATGCCGATTCCGTTCTATTTTAAAAGTTACACATTATCAAATCTTAAATTTTTTTTAGAAATTTCATTTTTATTGTCTAAAAAAAAAAAATTCTTATCTGAACGCTAAAATATATTTGAAAAATTGGAACTATTTTTGAAATATAAACAAATAAAATAAATAAAAATAAAAAGATGCCACCAAAAAATATAAAAAAAAAGGAAGATACAAAAGCAAAAAACTTTAATGAAGTTACTAAAAACATTTTAAATTGGCCAAAATTATCTCTAAAATCTAATTTAGAATTACAAACAATACTCTCTAATCAAATTTTAATTATAAACTCGTTTTTCACATCTGAAGAATGTGCCGAGACAATTAATTTCATCAATAACAATATTCCATTGCAATCTACCGCCAACCCATCTCCAAAAAAAGGCGAAGCATTTAGAAATAACCATAGATTTTCGATAGAAGATAAAAATTTTTCGCGAGTTTTATTTAATTCAGGATTGGATTTGCTAGTTTCTGATTGGAAATCGGGTGAAAAAACAGTTTCAGGTCTTAATCACAACATTAGGATTTATAAATATTGTATAGGTCAAAAATTTGGTAAACATTATGATGTTTCCGTTAAAGATTCTTTAGGTAGTTTAAGTCAATGGACATTATTGATTTATTTAAATGGTGGTGAAGGCGAATCTGAATATCCACTTTTAGGCGGGGAAACTGTTTTTTATAAGTCAAAAAAAGATAATAATGGAATCACAATAAAACCTCAAAGAGGAATGGCTTTATTACATTTACATGGTCATGAATGTCTATTACATGTATGTAGTTTAAACACACATTTCATCTATATATTTATCATACATATTGTAATTTTACTTTGATTTATTTTTAGGAAGGCAAAGAGGTTAAAAAAGGATCCAAATATGTCCTTAGAAGTGATCTAATGTTTTCCTAACAATACATCATATAATATAAATTATTTTTCCTTTGTATTCTGCTTGAATTATTTTCATTTTGCTCTACAGAGATATATCTTTTATAATATTTAAGTTCTTCGACACTTTCTTTGATGTCTTCCGATGCACGATGGACAAATCTCTTTGGTGCCATATTGTAAAGATGTTAGGGTATACCGTCTACATAACATCAATTATACGATAATACAAGTAATCAATAACTTGTGGAATTTATTTTTTCAAAAATATTTTATCTGCATAAACGCTATTCTCTGCAAGAAGTGCGATTCCTTCTGGGATATGTTTTTTTTTTTAGGAATTCAATGCATGCGTATTTTTTTTTATTTATTTAAATCAAATCAAATGTATTTAAATATTAATAACAATTTTATTAACCTCTCCATGATGTTTCTTGCACCAATCATTCATATTATCCGTAATTTCTTTTAATTAATAATTAGATCAATTAGATCAGGTCCCTTATTATTAATATTATTACTTTATCAATTAATATTAACCTTAATATTTATCAAGAAATCTTCTATTGTGTTCAAAAAAAAAATTTAATGTTCTTATATATCCCAAATACTACATTATATTTTTAATATAATGCAAGCCACTTGGTCTCGCAACTTTTTATTGGTCATGTAGATCCTTCAAATCCTCCAAAAATGGAAATGCAAACCTCAAAATAAATCGTGTTTTGAAGCCAAAACCTTCCTCTACAAAGTTACAATTTCATTTAATTGATATGTCATGCTGTTGCGGAGGATTTGAGCTTCAAAGTTGCACAAGTTTACCGAGTTTGCTATGTTTAGCCCTGAAATTGAAACAAAATAAAAAGTTTTCCGGATGGAAAAAAATACAACAGCTAAATTCGTTTAATTTTCCGCGATCCATAATAATAAAATTACTACAAAATCATTTTCTCTTCAAGTGACGTTTTTATCAAAAGTTCATTTTATTGTTCTGACAATTAATTAATTAATTAATTAAATCATTGGGTTAGTTTAAATCAACAAAAATATAATAATTTTTTTATTTGTTCTAATTATAATATAATTTTTCTCTTTCTTAAAATATATATATATAAATTTTTTTTAATCACAATATCAGTGTAGATATATACAGTTGGCTCTGAATATAGTGAACCTATTATATAGTGAATCGTACTATATAATGAAGTTAGAAAAATTCCAATTTCATTATATACAAATTGCTATTGATATAATGAATTTTAATATAAACTCTCTATATAAGCATTTAATGAAGTTTGTCTTGATCCATCAATAGTAAAATAAGATCTCCATATAATGAAGAAATTATTAAAACATATCGATCATTCCTTTTAAAGGGAAATAGTATTACTAGTAATAGTAATGAAACGATTAATGAAATATTTATGATTCAAAAAATCATCATGTAAAAAATCAACTAAATAAAAACTATTCATACAATATTTACAGTCTAAAATTACCATCATGTAAAAAATTACTCACATAAATAATTACTAATAAAAAAGATCAATGATCGATTTTGTCACATGTGATAAAACAAAAGTCCACTATGCTACTAGAAAGATGGTCCACATAATTTATTTCATTAATGTATTTTTTTTATTCGAATAATAAACATCAATATACTTTTAACTGATGAAAATTTCACATGACATTTGGCGATCTTTTTATATAATGAATCGTCTATATAATGAAGTTTTTCCAAAAACAAATGCTTCACTATATCCAGAGCCAACTGTAAATAGTTCAAAAATCATGGTGGACAACCAAAAAATGCAGTTTGGCAACATTTTGAATGTTATCCTTCAAAACATCCAGGATATTTTGGAGCCAAATGCAAAACATGTAATTAATTGTAAATGGAGTAATGGAGTTGTTAATAAACTGCAAGTCCATTCAGCACATGAATGTGAATATATCAAAAAAAGATATATGTATATTGTTGCAGAAAGAGATGGTGTAAGTGAATCTTTGTAAAATGCAGCATATAAAGCAAATACACAATCACTTGCTAATTTTTGGGATAAAGATGAGATATTATTTAAAAATGTGCAGGAATTATTGATCATTCAATTTTAAAGACTTTTGTGGTATCTAGAAGTATTTGATTCTGATTCAATTCCTGAAATTTCACCTCCATCAAATTATGTAAAAAAATTATTATTTTTTAAAAAAACTTTATTAATAATGAGTGATAATAATAATAAGCAAAAATAAAAAATAAAGATTAAGAATATTTGTTTGGTTTGGGATTTTTAGGAGTTTCGAAACAGTTTAGGAGTTTCTAACAGTTTAGTAATTCACGTTCATTTTTTAAACCAGTTTAGAACGGTTTTAATTTCGAATAATTCTAAACTCATGAGTTTCGGAAGGCAAAATAATCAATTAACTTGTTTTACGAATTTGCTGCCTCTTACTTGTACCTAGAAAGCTCAGCAAATCTGCAAGCACGTTAAAGCATGTATCGATGCAGAAGGAGAACACATAGAATATTAATTTAATAAAAAAAATGTAACTTTAGTGTTTGTCTTTGTATATACAAAAAAAAAATTTTTTTGGTTAATAATAAATTATATGCGTAATCTCAAAAAATCTGTCCGCCATTCTTTTCGCCGGGGACTGTAAAGTTTCTATTCGAATTATTTGTTTTATTCGTTATGAGTGTTCAAATTACATTGAAAGTTTATTCGAATAATTCAAATAAGAATATTACAAATAGAAACTCTGGTTATGTATTACTCTGATAACCAAATAAGCAATTAAACCCTACCTTTTAATTTCCGACTAAAAAGTGTTTTTATTAAACAAAAGAATCAATTTTATTATTTAATTTGTAAAATGTTTGTTCAGAAATGAATTAATTAACAATTTTCTGCCTCTATTCTTATGAGCAAGACACTGAAATGTTAGGTAGCTAATTAGTTAGTTAAGTAATTACTAACTAATAGTAGATAATAGTCATTAGTAATTTTCCGCTTGGTCAGAAGCCATAATGATTTTTGTTAATCTTTAAAAAATCAATTTCTTCCACTAATTTATAATTTAAAAAAATTTTTTTTTAACAACTTTATCGAAGTGCCGGCCAACCATATTGCGAACATGTGGCCCAACATGTGGCCCAATATCTTCAGTCACAACCTAATTATGGCACTATGTCATTACGACCTGATTATGACAATTTGAAAATGGATGTCTAAAATATATTATGGCATTACGATATTACGGCATGTCAAATGTCATGATAGTTTGGCTGCAAAGGTATTGTGGGTGTGATGTAGAGAGTTTATCAATGATCTTGAAGGAAGGGAAGAGGGATCTTGATTTTTCAAGTTGGTAATGGAATGGTTTATGATGAAGTCGATTGTTTTTGAGTAAAGGAAACTGATGAATCTTAAATAATTTATATTTTATCCATCTTTTAAGTCGGTTATTGTTATGTGATTCTGACAATTTGTAACGTATTACCGTGCAGCAGAGGAGAGAAGTTGTCCTAATGATTTTTTATTTGTTCGATTCATTCCTCGAGGTCAAATACTATTTATGATGGGTATCAGGGGTATTTCCGTATGTAGTTACAGCTTGGAAGCATTGCCTCATATACTTGAAACACTTTCACTTGTGTTAAAAGGAAATTGATCATCAAGAGCCACGTGATAAAGTGCTGTTTGGTTAGCCAACTGAGAGCCTTCAAAAACAATTCGAGTCATCTTTCAAACAGCACTTTGGACTGCAGGCTCAAGATCTTTATCTTCAAGGAATCTTTCCAGTCCAGTTTTTATTGTGCATTGTTTGTATTTTGTGCCTTTTTCCTGAACGGATTTAGATGCAGAATGACTTTGAAATTCAAAATGGTTGCTTGAAGAACGCGAATGATTCAGTCCTTTACAAGTTAGACAATGACGTTCTAGATATTTAAAAAAAAAATATTCGAGTGTTATTCCTAAAAAATAGAGGCAGATAAATGGTAAATATTTACTTGGTTTTTTTTGTTGTTCTTTTTTTATGTCCTCGCTTGCCTTTCTTTTAGCTGCATTTTTAGAAGATTCCGCATTTGGTATATTAATATTTTTGTGTTTTTTTGTGGGAATCTCTACTTTGTCACTTTTCGTTTACTTGATTCCTGATTCCCTGCCATTTGTATGTACTAACGTTGAAATGATGATGGTGTTTGAATTAAAGCAGAATTGACAAAGTTCTTTAAATAAGAAATTTTTCTTTTATTTTTATTTTTTTGATTTCCTATAATGTATGATGACATTATTATATTATTATTTGTCAAAGGATTTTATTTTTAATTTCATTCTCTTTTGATGGCTTGGTATTTGAGCCTTAACCATTCTTGTTCTTGGTTCATACTCACTCAGGATTGGGGATAACCTTGCCGGCTACTACCATTTTATTGACAAATATAGAAAAAACGTAAATCATTCTTCCAAAATTATACTAACGAAACAAAAAAATTTCAAGGGAAAAAGGCAGTGTTACGAGTTTTGTATTGTGTTGAAAGAATAGAGATACTAACTCCGAGTTAAGTTTAGAGAAATAGGACAATAAAGCAATAGAGACTTTTTTTTATTTTAAGCTAGAAAATAAAAGTAAAAGTTGTGAATATATATCCTCCCTCTTATAGATATCTTCATGGTGGTGTAGTAATATTAGCCGAAAGAAAGTGGATTCGAAAATTTTCTGCTAAAGTTGAAATACCCTTCATGGTTATGGACTGCCATGTAACATTTACAAAACATCTAACATTAGAGCAACCAGAGCAAAAACAATCCAAAAAAAAAAAATGGTGTTGAATCAATATATTGATAGTAAAAATAATTTTTGAAAAAGAGGTAATGGCAACAATTTTACCCCTATTTTATATCTAAATAATTTATTAATTGGTTTTTTTTTTTTTTACAAATTTAAGATGGATAGCTTTGGAGGGTCTAAACATTAAGGTGATGTGTGTGTGTTTATTATGTATAAATAAATGATTTTTTAATCTAAAAAAAATTGTTTATTTTTGTTTTCCTGAATATAGAGGTGAATCTTCAGCAATTGTATACTCCTTTCCACCAACTGTTGCATTACCGCCTTGAACTCCGAATGTTGTTACAGCTCCACAACTATTCTCATCAGATCTTAATGTTTGCCAAGAAATTCCATTTGCTATTTTATATATTAAAAAGATTTAAATTTAAATTTTTCAAAATAACTTATTTATCATCAAATAACTTACCTTTCTTTAATTTAATTTCAACCTTGGTAGATAAATATTCAAATTTGGATTTTTCAGGATCTATTTTTTCATATAATGGATAAATTTCCTTGAATATTTTACTATCAGAGAATCTCAAGTCAACAATTAACTATAAATTTTTTAAAATTATTTCAGAATCACAATAATAATAATAATAATAATAATAATAATAATAATAATAATAATAATAATAATCACAGTAGTAATAATAATAATAATAATAAACAATTATCTACCTCTTGTGATTGGAAATTTATAGTAGATTTTTGTTTATCAATCTTTTTTGCAAATATAGACATTATCACATTTGTTGGTGTTTGATACCTATAATAATATATTATTATTGTTATTACTTTCAATTTTAATATATACATATTTTCTGAATATTAATCATACCAATCATTTCGACAATTAACACGTTCTTCTATGTTGGTCTAAATTAATCAAATAAAAAAATACAAGATGTAAATATTTTACTTTACTTTTTTAAAAAAATTCTAATGATTGAAAAAGACATACATTTCCAACAAACAAATGTTTTCCTTTTTTACATCCTTTTATTTTCAAAAATTCTTCAAATTCTAAAACTTTACGAGTGCAACAACTCCAACCTAACAACAATGACATGTATAATTATCTCAAAAAGAAAAAAAATCAATTAATAATCTATATTGTGAGTGAATTTTTATTACCTTTACTTCCTTCATGAAAAGTTGCTGTACCAGGATGATAGATACATTCTGCTTCTGGACCTTCTCCACGGCTTGTTTTTTCATCAATGTATTTTTTACCACAACCTGATCTTTTACAAACAGTACCAACAGTAACAGGAATATTTGGATCATCATCTTCTGGTTCTTCGACTATCATTTGTTGTGGCTTGGTTTTTTCACTACTTGGTATTGTTGCGTTTGTAATTTTGGCATTTACCTCTTTTGATTGAACAAAAGGAATTTTTGGTCCAGAATATACTTCAACTCCTTCTCCTTCTCCTTCAGCTCTCATTGGTTCCTTATTATTGTTATCAATTAAATCATTTTTTGACAAGTCTGTGCTTGAAGGTGAAGGTTGTTGAATTTGATCAGTGTGTTGGCTAATAAAATAATTTGAATAAATAAAATAAATATTCAAGGAAAAACAAGGTTCAAATCAACAAAAAAATTTTTTTAGAAACATTAATCTTTAATTACCCTTTGGTGCATCCTGGAATAATAAGAAATTCATCAAATGATGTTACCCTTCGGTCACAACATTGCCATCCTTTTAAACCTTTGTTTTATTGTTTTTTTTTAATAATGATTTATGAAAATGTTGAAAAAATTTACAATCATCAGTTTTTACCTTCGTGAAATATTGGAGGTTTAGGATGGTAAAGGCATGCATTATCATTATTTTCTTCTTCAGTATAAGTTTTTTTACAACCTTCATGAACACACACTGGCATTTTTAACTTATTTTAAATTACAAAGTAGAAAAAAAATTTTATATATAAAGAGGGAAGTTAATTGTCGAGAAAATACTAGAACAATCTCTTCGACAAAAACCTGTATAATTGACAAACATTACACTGCATTAAAGTTGCAATTATGGATCACGGGAAAATCAATAAAACACAGAAATATTGATCAAGAGTCCAATTCGATAAAGTGTTACTCAATCAATGTAATAAACCAATAAAATAATTAACTCACTGAAATTATCAAGAAAGATTATTCTAAAAATAACTTGAAAATATGTGGAAGGTTCAAATTATGTTCAAGGAATACATTTAACAAACCAAGAGTTCTTGGAAATCAGATAACTAGATGGGTTGAACCTTTAACATGTATAAATAATGTTAATTTCATGTATCATTGTTATCATCATAAAAAATCTTTAACAATAATCATTTAATAAATAACAAACTGTTGAACTTGTCCTTATCCTTGTTGTTGTCTTTGTTGTCTTCAAATTTTTTATTTTTTCCCCAATTACTATCTTACCAGGGGGACAGACTCCTATACTAAGTGTAGTTGTATATGTTTATTTCTTTTCTTTTATTCTAGAAATAGGCCTTAGGAAGGTAACTGGGATCAGAAGGAACCTAGGTAAGGCCAGAAGATACTAGGCCAGTAATATTAAGAAAAGCCCAAAGGTACAAGGCTAAAGATATTAAGAATTTGGATGTTCCTGGCAAGAGTTTCTGCTGGAAAATTGTGATCAGGGGGTAGTTGGAATAATTTGCCAAAAATTATTATGGTGCGCGAAGTCTATAACCACCATTTACTGTGCCACACTGCCAAATTTCACCAAAAACTCAAAAACCAAAATTTGAAAATCATTCAAAAAATAATGATTTTTTTTTGACAAAAAATTTATAAAGTCATGTGATTTCTAAAATTTCTTAATTTGTTTTATTATCAACTTTAATTATCAATAACATTGCTTGGAATTTTTCTATGAGATTTGTATCTCTTTACTGCATATAAAGCTTCTATACCTGTCAATCCATTTCTATAAGCATCCATAAATCTCCAAGACCTGCAAGCAAACTTTCGAATTTTTTCAAGAGAAACAGAATTTAATGCTAATGGAACAGTTTTTTCTAATGACTTAAAGGTATAATCACAATTTTCACGGGTATATTGTTTTGCTGCACCCCAAAATAATTCAATAAAATTAAGTTCACAGTGGAACTTGGGGTAAAAAATGACTTTATGACCATAAGATTCAATAGTTTCTTCAATTAAAGATTTTTGATTAACAAAGTCAGGTTGAAGTTCAAGGATTCGGACTGCACAACATGAACCTTGGATTGGTGAATGTTTTTTGCAGGCAGTACAAATTCGAACTAATTTTGTTGATGGC